CAACAAAGAAGTGTTTTTATAGAGCTTTTAGTGTTTTACCTTTCATAGTAGCAGCAGCAGTAAAATACAGTCATGTCAACCTCCAAAAAAGAAAGTAGTTCAGTAGAATCATATTGCTCTTTGTCATATGCAGATTACTAACAAAAGGGTCACCTCCAAGCATATGCTCTTTGTTAATCAAAACCACTAAAAAGGATAATCACTAGCTTCAATGAAGAAGGCATGATCAAAAGATAACTTCCAAAATAGTAGTAGCACCAAAAAAAGTTTCACCAAATAGAGAGCTGAAAAAAAAAAAGAGCACAAGTTATATAAGTATTACAATTTATTTGCTAAAATATTAATAATAAATTGAGTTATAACATCATTAATACCTTATTAAACCATATCAGCACAGGTGTTTAAACATTGTGCTGAAGGAACGCCCTCTTTATTACTTATGGTCAAATCATCAAACTCCATAACAAGGTCATCCAATTGAAGTTACATGCTCTCTTCATTTAAAAACACCAAAAGAAAAATTAATATAAATACCAATGAAAGTAAATTTAATTTAATTAATAGAAATTTGAATTGATTACCTTTTATATTAAATAACCAATCTCTTGTGCAAACCAAAGCCTCCACATTCTCGGGTTTAAGACAACTACGGAACTGATCAAGAATTCGACCACCAACACTAAAAGCAGCCTCGAAAGCAACCGTAGACACTGGAATGCTTAATACATCTCGAGCCATACGAGAAAGTACTGGATACCTGAACTGGTTGGCCTTCCAATATACAAGCACATCAAGGTCTACGTTCCTGTCAACCTTTAGCTCATCCAAATACAATTCTAATTCTGATTTTTGAGCACTAGCAAATTCATCACTTTCAAAACTATCAAATTCCTATATAAAAAATAAATAAGTAAAAGCAAGTACTCAAATAAATATTTTACAAGAATAAAGTAAAACTAGTTAAAATACGTAAATGAAAAAATAAAATATCAAATTACCTTCATGATTTCTCTACTCTATTTTGTCCAAAGTGCTTCTTCTCTTTTATAAGAACAACTTTCAACTGTTTATGAAGTGGCTTTTGTGCTCATAGGAGAAGGAAAATCATGCAAATACTCATTAAAGAGACTAAACAAGTTATCACGGACCCTTTTGATCTCTCTAGAATCATAACCATAAATCTTCGTGTAACTAAAAGCCACAAAATAAAGCTTGAAACGAGGGTCTAAAATCACAGCAATAGCAAGGATCATGTTAAATTCTGACCAATATTTAGAGAATTTCGAATACATTTTAGTGGCCATGTTAGACAAGAACTCATCCAAACTCTCCTTTTCAGTTAGCAATTTTCGTTGAACTAAAAACACAGCAGGAAAGTACAAATTTGTTGTAGCATATTTTGTTCCAGAAAAGACTTTGGTGACGTTATAAAATTCTCCTAAGAAATTGCAAATCTTCTCCACTTTGCTCCACTCATCTTTAGATGGACAATGCTTATAGTTTGAGTCACTTAATGCCATGTGACAAAATGCACGACGATAATAAATGGCACACTCAAGCATAATAAATGTTGAGTTCCATCTTGTAGAAATATCTTGCCTTAAACCTTTCTTAGAATCCAAAGACACATGAGAAATGCATTCCAAAAATTTTTGTTTTCTCCCCGGAGAATCTTTAACATACTTAACACTTTCACGAATCTTAATGACAGATTCATCAATTTCTTTTAAACCATCTTGCACAATCAAATTCAAAATATGAGCACAACACCGAATGTGAAAATAATTACCATCACTTAACAATGCATCATTTAAATTTAATTGACACTTCAACATGTCAACAAATGAAGTATTTGAAAAAACATTATCCAAAGTGATTGAAAACAGTTTTTTCTCAATCCCCCATTTGGTTAACAATGTGTAAATTTTTTCATTTATGGTAACCCCATTATGTGGTGATGGCATGTAGCAAAAGTTCAAGATTCTTTTCTGTAATTGCCAATTATCATCAATAAAATGTGCAGTGAGGCATAAGTACCTATCGGTAGTTAAAGAAGTCAATAAATCAGATGTCAAACAAATCCTACCCTGCACTGATCCTAACAAGTGTCGAAGCCTACCCTTTTCAGTTTTATACATTTTCAAGATATCAGCCTTGGCAGTATTCCTACTAATAGGTTGAAAATCTTCACATAAATATCGACATACTGCTCTAATGCCCTCATACTCAACAAATTGAAAAGGTAGCTCATGCATTATAATAGCAGTAGTCAATAATTCACGAAACTTTTCAGGATCAAATTTTGATGAATGCACTTGAGATAAAAGAAGCTGACCTATATCACGTGTGTCCTTTCTGATACAATTATCAATATGCTGCTTCATATTCCCAGTTCCATACTTCGAACTACACAAATAAACAATCCCGCATTTATTGCACTCGCATCTTGGCTTCTTGTCTTTAGCAAGAGGACGTATCTTAAAATATTTCCAAACAGCAGAGGTGAATTTTCTTTTTCGTTTTACAGCTTTTTTTGGTTTGAAAGCTTCCTTATCTCCTTGTATCTCTTCAACTTCATCGCCACTTTCTTCAACATCTTCAAGGTTTATTTGAATATCAGTAGCAGCGTCCATATACAAGTTTGCACCGAAATAAAAGAAAAGTAAAAAGATAAGATAATAGAATACAAAAATAAATTACTAAGTTAATTTAATATATATTTCTTATTTTAAGAAAAGATTAGTTATTGTTCTAATTTCTAATACACCCAAATTCTTTTTTCTGTAATAATCTCTAGACTTTAATACAAAATAATTATAACATAGAAATTTTCTTTTGTTTCAACAAAAAGTATTTCAAAAAATTTTTCCGCAGAAAATAAAATATAAGTGAGTGTAGATGTCTAAGAAATTATTTAACTCAAAAATGTTTGTGGAATGAGGAAACTTTATACTTTAGTAAAAAATACACAATATTTCTAAACGATTTAATCCAAGCATAAAAGAAATTAAAAAAGAACAAGAATTACACTGACATACATACATGTGTGTGCTTACATAGAATATTAGAAATACACACAGACATATATATATATATATATATATATATATGACTTATAGATGGTGGTCCAGCTTCGTCTTTCTGGGAAGAAAGCTAAAGATGATCAAAGAAATTTATCTGTACCTTTGTTAGAACTCGACAGAAGGAAGAAATTAGATTAAATAGCCCATATCTCATATACTAAAAACAGAACCAGTATTAATTGAAAATATAGAGATAGTGTCTGAAACATTCATTAGATTTTGAGCCTAAGCAAAGATTTGATTACTCTCCCTTCGACCATCTCCTGTCAAATCTCAGAAGAAACACCAATGAACCAATCAACACAACACACAAATAAAGAAAGCACTAACACTAACCATATTTGCTAAAAAGAACCTCGGAATATCAAGCTCGTAGTGATAAAAACTATATTTTAGTATGCTGCTTGTAAAACTGCCACATGAGGAATCGAAGACGATCAAAGCTAGGGTTCGTAATCGCCTTTGCTCTCTGTCGGTAGAAACAAAAAAATAGAAATAGTGAATAATGAATATAAGAGATAAGAAATGAAATAGGAATTGAAATCGAATGATCTGTACCTTTGTTAATTGTGACTTTGTGTTAGAACTCGATAGAAGGAAAAAATCACATGAGAAATCGAAGACGATCAAAGGCTCAAAGCTAGGGTTCGTACTTCTTAATCGCCTTTTGCTCTCTAACTCTTTGTCGACAGAAACAAGAAAATGGAATATGTCGTATGCGAATGCGATAGGGTTAGTGCTTTTTTTCTTATATTTTTTATTTTACACCTATATGGACAAATTTACTAATTTACCCTCTCCTATTTCACAATTTACTATTTTATATTTTAAATGGGTTGTAAATGGGTTGGGTCGTATCCGCGTTGACACGACCCATTTAACCCGTTTAATTAAACGAGTTACGCGGGTTGAACCCGAACCCAACCCAACTTTTTCATGTTCTAATCGTGTCGACCCTTATCCGACCCAAACCCATTTATACTAAACCCAAACCCGCCCAAACCGTGTCGTGTTCGTATCGTGTTATCCTGTTATGTATAATTTTGCCACCCCTAATTTAAATGGACAAAAGTGTTTTCACATAAATTTTAAGGGTAAAATAGATATTTTCAGCTTGAGGGAGTGATAGTGTCTACATGGCCTTTGATTGTAACTGGACTAACGGAGTAACTATGGGTAGGGATGTCAATTTTTACCGCCCCGCCCCGTCCCGCCCCTTTAATAACGGATATGGGAACACTTGTTATACCGTTGGGGCGGACATGGATACAAATTTTGTACCCGTCGAGGGTCACGGGGCGGATAAGGGTTCAATATGCATAACCTAGGGGCCCCGCCCCGCCCCGCCCCACCCCGCATATAACTATATAACTATATATATATATATAAGTTATTTTAGCGGCTTACCCAATTACCCATCTCTTATAATCCTAATTTGGGATGTAAACTTGGTATTGAATTTGCTTTTGTTTTAGTTATGGTGCAAGTTGGAGCTTAAAACTTCTTGTGATTTGGTTGTATTAAACTTTTATTTTTGTTTATTATATTCTCTGAATTATGTTATGTGCATGTTATTTATTTATTTTTTTTTATTAGGATACATAATTTTATTTATGTTGTGTCATTCTTAGGCTTTGCACATTTAAATAGCAGGAGTTTAAGTTCCAAAAAGTGGGAGAAAAAAATTTGTTAGTGGGGCAGGTACGGGGGCACAGTATTTCCTAACGGGGCGGGGTTGGATATGAAAATCCAACCCGTCGCGGGTCTCGGGGCGGGCATGAACTTGACAAAAATTAAAAGGGGCGAGGCGGGATTTAGAGAAACCCGCTCCAAACCCGCCCCGTTGCCATCCCTAACTATGGGGGAGGTGAGTATATTATTCAAAACTTGAGGGGAAATAAGTGTAATTTACCCGAAGGTTATATAGAGAGAGAATTCACGGCCGGACGGCGAGAAGACAACAAAACCAGGCCGATTCTAGAGAGAGAGAGGTAGAGAGAGAAATAGGGAAGAGGATGAAGTTTGTGGTGAAAGCATGGAGCAATGGAAGTAAAGCAAGGGCAGGGGTTGTTCAGTTGGAGAGCTGCCCGTATCCAGTAGAAACTCCAGCACTACTCCTTTCGGCCCGTAAAGGGCTGCCCGCTTTCATCTCCCCTGACCTCCTTCCCTCCCTCCCTTCCCCTGATTCCCACCTTCTTCAAACTAGTCCTCTTCACTTGTAAGTCTTTTTTTTAATATCTTTCTAAAACTAATATATACATATATCTATATATATTTATGAAATCTACATAATTGCACATCAGATGTTTGTGATATGTTTCCTCACATGAATGCCATCACCCCAACACTTCTGTATGTATGCGTGTTTATTCATGTGTGGGTGTGTGTGCCAGTGTGTTTTTTCTTTCTTTCTCTCTTTTTTTAGCACAGTTTATTCATGTGTTTATTTGTACATATTATATGTATTTGTACTGATGCTAAGCCGCAATCTTTTTCCTTTTTTTTTTTTTTAGCCAAAAGATGAATTAGAATCAAATTGATCACAAATATCAATTACAACTTTTTCAATCACATGTTTTAATTAGCAAAATTTTGAAGCTTTGTCCAAGAGAAGAAGAAGAAAAAAACTTATCTGATAAAAGAAAATAATACTAGGAAATAACCCAATTAGCAAAAATAAACATGTTATATGTTTTGGGAAAAAAGCTAGAAATGTTTGAAATAAAAATGATAATGGTTAAATAATACACTTGAATGCAAGTTTTTTCCTTTGTCGTTTTTACTTTTTCTAAACATAGGAATGACATAAGAGGTTCAATGTTCAGGCTCATGAAAAAGACTTTGTGGTGGGATGAGGAAGTCTGGAAGAATAAAAGCAAAATGGGCTTGTTATAAAAAAATTGGCATAAAGCTACCAATGAGAATTTTTTTTTTTTGAAAGATATAAATAAAACAAAGGTTTTCTATGCTATAAGAATTGTAGAATTTGAAACTAGAAATGCATTGAAGAAGATGAAAGTGGGATGACTTTTGGAGTAGATGGTATTCCTATCAAGTCTTTGAAGTGATGTGGGATCAATGAAGTCATTTAGTAAAATTATAATAAATTAATCGTTAAAAAAAAGGCCTCAAGAATGGTAAAAAAAGTGTTTCGGTACCTATAAATTAAATCAAACTAGATATTTAAAGCTCCATAAACTATTGCATTATCAACCTACTGAATGATGCTATGGAACATTGGGAAGCAAGTAAAGGACATTCACAGGAACAGGAAAAAAATTTGCATATATTTTTCTACCCAGGAACTTTTCTATGAGTGTATTCGAAATTTTTTTCTTGATGAAATCTGCCTTGATGTGCCATTAGAGTGAGAATCATAATTCAAATCAAATTGAACAAGGTTAATAAAACTATGACTTAGTCATGGAGTTATTATTAAGAAATACAGGATATTGTAACTCGAAACTTTGATATAGGGTAAGCGGAAGACCCTAAAATAAATCCAGAAGGGTGAATAGATCTTATTTGATTTTAACTAACAATAACTAATTTTTAACTTATAACAATTATATGTAGAATACAACAATATGAACCAATTAAGTATATGGAGCAAAAACATATAAGCCAAGCAACCCCAATGAAGACACAATTCATTATCATCATCATCCTTGCCTTATTCCCTTATGAATGGGATCAGCCACATGAATTCTCTTTCTCCAAGCTTTTCTATTACAAGCCATTTTACCTACTATATTTAACTTTTAAAAATCATTTTTAATAACCTCATCCCATTTTATTTATAGTTTCCCTCTCCGCCCCATACCTTCTATTACAACTAGAACACACAATTGTTACATGAAAAAACCTAACAGGGAAGAACCATGAGACATAGTCTAGTCCTGGCAGATCAAAATTACTGATGAGAAAGAAGTTCTTACAACTGATTTACCAGTTTCTCAAACCCTTGAAAACCCCTAATTACCTCATGACATGGATTGGCGCCAAACACTCCACTTGAGTTTTCAGTCTGTCAGCTCTGTCCACAGATTTGCTCCACACACGATTCGCTTCTACAAACACATTGATCTCCATAGCTTGGCGCCCGGGTTGTGTTCGATATGGAGAAATTTTTTGGCATTTGAATTCCGTGTATAGAACCAGGATTATGATAAATAATAACTCACCTCAGGTAGATTAATAACTTAATAAACTCAAAACCTTCTGCAATGCAAATCTTAGATTTCTTATTTGTTTGAGTCCTATTTGTTATGCACTATTGCATCTTGCACGGGACAAGGACTAGAGATTCTGTTTAATGCAAATCTCACTTTTCTGATTTCCTAAAGTAAAAAAAAAAAAAAAAAGAAAAAAAAAAAAAAAGAACGGTAATTGTAGGTTCCATATACCTAGAAATTTTATAATTTTCCTGTAGACTGAATCACTTATGTTTCATCGTTTGGTTCAGCAGCATGGAGGGTCTGTCTTCCAAAACAATAGCAAATATTGGAGGACTGCACAAGATGGTTGGTTTGCAAGAATATGGATTTGCTGCAGTCCTAAGGGATTCTGTTGTATGTCTTCCGGAATTCAATAGCACTAACAAGACTGGAGCATCTTTTGAGACTCCTTGTGGTCGTGTCTTGGTACTTCTTAATTTGTTTGCTTAATTGCATGAACTTTCCCTTTATTTGGTTTTTTACAATGTTGTTGGATTGATTGCTGGATTTTTCCAAATTATTGTATGCATACAGATAAAACCTGTAGAGTTTATGGGGATGATTTCTTCCATGAAACCAAACTTATGGGCCTCTTTAGCCGATGAAGTACCAGCTTGGGTTTCCGAGAAGAGGAATAAAACCTCGGTAGATCGTACTGTGAGATGGCTTGATGATTGCATATCATTAAACATGGTATATACTGTCTGCATATATGCGTCTTTTATTTTGGATTTAATAAGAATCATTGTTTGAAATCCATATTAAATATATTACTAGTCACCATGTCATATAATATTGTTGTGGATTGCAGAATACATTCTTTGAGTTTAGAGGTGAAACATTATTTCTTGACAAGAAGATGGCTTATAAACACCTTTGACAGTGCATATCCATCTATTCAAACTCCATTACTATGGTAATTCATGACTAGTGTTTTGGTATTCGACTTGAGGAAGCTGAGAACTGACCATTTGTTTGAAACCTATTTGCATAAAATTGATAAAAAGGTTATCGCAGTTGTGCTTTTGGGGAAAAGGAAAAAGAGTGTTTTTTTTTTTTCCATGTAGCACAGTAAGCTTTTGATATATGCGTCCCGATACTAATCCAAGGAAGTAGGATATTACTAAAAGAAGATCAAAGAAGGATCTCACCACTCTTAACAAGGGAATGATTTTTTTTTCTTCTTCAGTGTCTTAACGAAGAAAGAGCAACCTAAAACAAATACATTTCTCTCTTTTACATTCAAGTAGCACAGTAACCTACCTATGCATGCTCGAACTGTTGTATCTGTCCATAGAGCATGAACACTAGTTGTAAAAAGCAATCCTGCAATCTTAGCCTTAAGAATAAGAGAGCTTGCTTTAAAATTCCTTTGAAAAGGGCCCAGCACACATTACCAAATAGAAAAGAAAGAGAGCGAGTTAATTCGTTCATGGCAGCCGGGAAGGCATTTTTTCTATTGAGATTGTGGTTTGTTAATCCGATGAGGGCATCACTAGAAAGGTACAAGGTCGAGATCCCAGTTAAACGGGCTATTCAAGGTGTTAATATCATGGTTCGCTGTCGGGATGGGTCACTATAAAATTCCTTTGAAAAGCCTACTCCAGCCAGCCGCTTCTTCACAGGGCAATTCACCTTCTCTTGAGCTATTCACTAGGTCACGCTTCCTTGTTCCAACTTCCGTACCAACTGGGTCAGGCAACAAAGCAAGGGAAGTATACGATCTGTTGAAAGAAAAATAAAAGTTGAAGAGATAAATTAAAACATGAAGAACACAAGAATATAACGTGGTTCAGCCACTAAGGCTTACATCCATGACACAGAAAGCGTAAAGGGCTACATCTCTTTCATTACCTTCTCTCTTGATTTTGTTTACAATAACCACCTCTATTTATAGGTGAATTGGGATAGACTTGTAATAAAGGAATTATACAGAAAGTCAAATATAAATATGGCAATGACTTGTTGCCCAAGTATAACAACATTAACATTCTGTCAAGGAGTGATTTAAGGGCTTAAATCACTCCTATAATTATTCTCCAACACCCCCCCTCAAGTTGGTACACGGAGATTTAACTCAAATGTCCAACTTGAAATTAAATGTGAAGTTGTTGAGAGTCTGAGATAAGTAAATCTGAGATGAATTGATCCGGAGATCCGAGGCAAGTTGATCCGAAGATCCGAGACGAGAAGAGACGAGATGAGTTGATCCGAAGATCCGAGACGAGTAGAATATAGACTAGGGTATGATAAACTTGCTCTGATATCATGTTGAAAGAAAAATAAAAGTTGAAGAGATAAATTAAAACATGAAGAATACAAGAATATAATGCGGTTCAGCCACAGGGCTTAAATCCGTGACACACAAAGCCCAAATGGCTCCATCTCTTTCATTACCTTTTCTCTTGATTTTGTTTACAATAACCACCTCTATTTATAGGTGAATTGGGAAAGACTTGTAATAAAGGAATTATACTGAAAGTCAAATATAAATACGGCAACAACTTGTTTCCCAAGTATAGCAACATTAACATTCTGTCAAGGAGTGATTTAAGAAGGGCTTAAATCACTCCTATAATTATTCTGCAACACGATCATAAAGAAAAGTCTCATCTTGGGTAGGTAGCTATATCTAGCTTGTATTATTATCCTGATCAAAATTCAATCCTCACAACACATTTTTGGCCATGTAACAAGATTGTCACCGATTTAGGAAACCCCAATATTGTAATCTTTGCAAGAGGGTGGGTCGTGTAGAAAGTGATCGTCCTTCAAAGGTTCAAATTAGGAACAAGCCTAAGGTGGTTAGCCAATGGGTGGAGAAGAAGAAGGGGTGTTTAGTTCTTGTTGAGGATGATAGTGTGGAACAGCAGCTGAAGAAAGATGATCATTCTCCAGAGACAAGTTTAAGAGGCAATTCTGGTCAGGGAAAGGGCAAGGATAAGGCAATTTCATCTCTCTCTATTCAAGACCATTTTGAGGCTCTACAAGGACCTGTGGATGATGAAATCAAAGTGCCGAACGACTTGACTGAGAGAGAGGATTGTAATGTGCCTATTACTGCAGATCATCCAGGGACAAGAGATGGTGCAGGAGGGGAGAATGTGAGTGAAGAAGGTGCTATTGATGATGGCTTTGTCTTCTCTTCTCCAGTTAAGAAAACTTCCCCGGAAGGGTCTGTGAGCAAACATAAGAAGAAGAAGAAGACACAGGTCCCTCAATTGGATAGAATTACTAGGGCTATGGGGGTAGGTGGTCAAATTCCACCTCATTCTCATGCTCAATGCTAGGAAGTTGCAATGTGAGAGGTCTAAATAGACCTCAGATGCAGAGAGAAGTGCAAGCATGGATCTCATCTTTTTCTCTCTTTGGTTTTGGCTATTTGAAACCAGGGTTAGTGTTTCTAATTTTGGGCGTTTTCTTATGCAATCAGAGCTAGGTATAATTGGATAGCTAATTATAATAGTTCTGAGAATCGTAGGGTGTGGGTTGGGTGGAATCCCTTTGTTTTTGATGTCGTCGTGTTGCAAGAATCTGCCCAGTGTTTGTTTATGCAAGTCACAATCATTGCCACTCAAAAAATTTTCTTTTTCTCAGCTGTATATGCTGCTAATACAGTGAGGGAGAGAAGAATTTTGTGGCAATCTATGCTTGATCAGTTTCAATTGGTGGATGGTCCATGGATTGCAGTGGGGGATTGGAATGTTATTAAAGCCCATTGTGAGAAACGTGGAGGGTTGGCTGTCCCTCAAGCTATTGTTGATGAGTTTAGTGCAGTGGTTGATGGTTGTGGGTTGTTTGATCTTCCAGTTCTCAACTGGGGCTGGACTTGGACTAATAATCAATTTACCAGAAGACGAATATGTGCTAGATTGGATAGGGGTTTGGTTAACAGTTAGTGTTCAATTTTTGAACTCTAAAGTGATGCTTTCTTCGGCTTCAATTTCAGATCATTTTGGTTTGGCTATTCAATCTTCAGAGGACTGCTGTGTGGGTCCTAAGCCTTTTAAATTATTGAAAGCTTGGGGTATGATGGATGAAGTTCACCTGATTGTGGAGCAGGCTTGGAATCAACCTGTGCAAGGAATTCCAATTCATTGATTTCTGAAGAGGTTGAGTTTGGTGAGATGAGATATCAAGGAATGGAATAAAAAGAAAGGGACTATCTCTGAATGAAACGAGATGTCAGCCATTGTAGAGACAGTTTGTCCAAGTTGCAATCTGCTTTGTTGGATGATCCTTTTAATGAGGATCTGATCCTAAGGGAGTATTCTGCTAGGGAGAATCTTGAGTCTGCCTTGAAGATGGAAGAAATTCTAAGGTGCAGAAATCTAGAATGGTGTGGATGAAGGATAATGGTAAGTGTACTGCATATTTTCACCAGAAGACTAAACAAAGGAGAGCTTTCAATGTTATTACTCTTTTGCAGAATTGGAATGGCAACAGTTCTATGGATCAAGTACTATTAGGCAATGGATTGTGGACTTTTATACTGGTTTATATTATGAAGTTCATTTTTTTGCTCCGCCTCACTTTACTCCTAGGAAAACTTTGATGGATGAGGAGAGGATGAATCTGGAGGCTGGGATTACAGAAGAGGAAGTGAGGATTGCAGTGATGAGCTCCAAGCCTGATAGCTCCAGGACCTAATGGTTTTCTTAATAGGTTTTACCAGAGGTATTGGGAGGTGATCAAGGGTGATGTGTTGCAAGCTATTCAGAATTTTCTCCACACTTCCTGTCTTCCTCAAGGACTTACTAGTACCTTCATTACTCTGGTTCCAAAAAAAGTCTGATTGTGTGAGATCAGGACTGCAGGCAATTTAATTGGCAAGGAACAAGTGGCCTTCTTGAAAGGTAGGAGAATTCTGAGTAACATCATTATGGCCCAAGATTTGTTAAAGGGGTTTGGGAGTAGAAGCATGGATTCAACTATGGCCTTGAAGTGGATTTGGTCAAATCTTTTGATTCAGTATCATGGACATTCCTAGAGCATATTCTTCACTGGTATGGTTTTGGAGATGTTTGGATCAGATGGATAATGTGCTGTGTTACTTCAGGGACTTGTCAAGCCTGGAAGAGGGTTAAGGCAAGGGTGTATTTTATCTCCCTTATTATTTTGCCTTGTAACTGATTATATTTCCCAATCCTTGAACCAGAACGTGGATGAGGGTCTGCTGGAGCTGCGTAAATATGTCAGAAGGTTAGGTCAGAGAGTATCCCATTTCTTTTTTTGCAGATGATCTCTTTCTGATTTGTAGAGCTTCTGTTGCAAATGCCAAGGTCCTTGCTGAGGTGTTTAATCAGATTGGGGACTGGTCTGGCCTTCAAGTTAGTATTGAGAAGAGTTTGGTTTTCTTTTCTAAGTCTGTGAGAAGACAGAAGAGCATTCAGAGAATCTTGAAGTTCAACATAGGTACTCTTCCTATGACTTACCTTGGGTTACCTTTGTCTGATAAGAACCTTAGAAATTCTCAGTTTTCTGATTTGGTGGACAAGGTGAATGCTAAGATTTCTTTATGGAGTAGCTTCAATGTTTTTCTGGCTGGGAGAATTCAATTGGTGAACTCTGTTCTCTCTTCTTACTATTATTAATGGGCAGCAGTTTTTTTTTTTCTGTGGGAATTCAGAGTACTCTTAATAGGGAAGTCAGAGACTTCTTATGGGGTAAGAAGAATGACAGTAGGAAATTGCATTTGATGAAATGGGATAAAGTTGCATTGCCTAAGAGTGAGGGTGGTTTTGGTATCAGAAGTTTGAGCAATATTGATATTGCTGCTAAGTTTGTGCTTCTGTGGGAGTTTATGCAAATCTAAAGAGTCTTTGTTGTTTGTATGGTTCAAAGATAAGTACTTGAAAAGAACCAATTTTTGATCATGTAATGCAAGTGCAGGCCCTGCAGGGGATTTTGCAGCGTGGAGGAATTTATTTGTCATTAGAGAGGACTTTCTTCTGCACCTTCAGTTTCAAATCAAGGATAGCAGAAGGTTTAGACTGCTTTTGAATCCATGGTTTCAGGGAGCTTCTTTGCTTCAAGCTTATGGCTTTAGAAGGTTGTATAGTCCTGCTCTTCAAAAGGAAGCAACGTTGGCAGAATTGCTAGTCGGTGGGCAGTGGAGAGTTCCTCATAACTGGCCACCAGCAATCCAAATTTTTTTACAAAGATTCCAGTTCCATCAAGGTAAGGATTGCATTGAATGAAGCATGGGAGATTTTGTTTTAAATCTGCTTGGAATCAGGTGAGGAGTAAGGCTGCAAAGGTGAGTCGGTATAACCTGGTTTAGAACAAGAATAGGCCTAGAGTGTTGATCACTTCTGTGCTTATTTTACAGAATTCCATTCCTACCTTGTTTAATCTTAGAAGAAGAGGCCCGGTCCTTACTTTTATATGTCATAATTGTATGAAGAGTGATGATTAAGTTGACCGCTTGTTTTGGTGCTGTGATTTTGCTACTTCCTAACGGAGTTGGTTTGCTGATTTTTGTGGGTGGAATGATCTCATGAGTCTGGGTTCCTTTGAAGAGGCAGTTCACTGGTTTTGTAACCATGGTTCTACAGTACAAGCAAAGGCTCAGCTTTTTAGTTATTTTTTCACTCTTATCCTATGGAATGTGTGGAAGAGAGAAAAAAGCAGAATGCAGATGGACAGGGGAGATCAATTGAGTCTGTGGCAGTTGACATTTTGTATGGAGGCTGCTACTGCTTTGGGCATGCAAGTGCAGGACTTCTCTCCATTTTGTAGTTTTGGTTTATTCCTTCATTCTTGCACCTTTGGTTAGGGTTCTGTCCTATCCAATGGAGGTTTTGTCTGAGTCTGTTTGACTCTGTCTTGTATTCTGTACTTTATTGCTGTATTTTAATGATAATATATCTCCACATTCAGGAACAAAAAAATTGGAGCAGTTGACTATCAACAGCTTACGTGGTTTGATTATCTGACAGTTGAATAGTATTTAATTGGAATCTTTTGTTGTTCTGAAGGTAAAATAGAAAAGGAAACGTTTATCTTTCATTTGGATGGGACCTAATTAACTCATTGGGGCTCCATCAACTTGCTTTATAATTTTAATTTTTGATGGTTGGGGTAAAAATCATGATCCTCAATATAGTGGGATTAGCCAAAGGGAATGTTATGTATAAAAAATTGCAAGACCAATAAAAAAAAAAAAAAAAAAACCCGAAGGGGACTCCAATGAACTCTCTTATTGTAAGATAGGGAAATCTATTGTAACCTCCTTTTGGTGTATGCAGAAATTTTGTGTCAAAATCTTCAGCTCCTTTGGAACATGTCATGGAACTATTTCAATTAATCCATTTATCTTTTATTTGATTTTTCCTTTTGGTGAGGGGTCATCAATTGGCTGCCATCAAACTATGTATGGTTAAGATGGTTTGCTTATCATCATGCTAAAAGCACTAAATCTTTTCCCACTAAGTGCTATGTTTATGACTATCCGTGCTCACGGTTTTCAAAACGCATCTAGACAGGTAAGTGCCAAGAATTTCTCGCCCCAGTCTATGTGGTACGTCACAGGTTTAGAACTTAAATGAAAATGATTCCAAAAGTAGGAATTATTAATGGGCTTATATGAAGGGAAAAGTTAGGACTTAGTGGTATTTTTCCCAATAATATTTACCTATGAATCCTTAATTTTTTTTTGTGTTTATTTATTATTGGAACTACTGGTTAGTCTATGTAGCTAATGGGTGAATACAGAATTGTTAGTTGGAGATAATGGTTTTGTTTACTGAGAAAAAAGACATGCCACTTGTATTAATCCGTGAACTGTAGACAGGTGGAGATGTTTTTGGAGCCATTGTTGGAGGCTCTAGCATGGAAGAACGCCGACGTTGTGCACAGGAAGTTGTGAGGCGAAATGTATCAGGTTACTACAAATCTTTTTATTTTTATTTTTATTATTTATCTATTTATTTTTTTTGTTATAGTGCCTGTTTAGTTAGAACTCTTGACATGTTATCTTCTTGGGAATACAGGTCAGCAGACAGTCCATTTCATGTTTAATCACGACCTTCTGATTATCTCATTATTCCTTATGTTTAGAGAATAGTGACTGCACATGAGTAAATCCATCTTGTATATTAGCAATGTATGGGTACATAATCTCATATTACTTATATAATCTAGTGGAAAATTTCACTTAGACCCATGAACTTTGGCCTCTGGCAAGGGGTGGCCACACGTTGACAAATAGGCCAGACTCCCATGCCAATAATGGCTACAATGTTAGTTGCACAACAATTAAGAAATGGAAGAAGTAAAAAATGGGGTTACTTTCTAGTAGTGGGCTGACCCTTCCACGAAGCTAGACTCTATTCTCTCTCCTACTCTCTTCAACCCAGTTGATCCCTCCAACCAAGTCACACAGAGTGGGAGAGAGAACTAGAGTGCCTAAGTGTAAAATTTTCTTTTAGCAGCGTCTTTAGAGTATTTATATGTTGCACATATATGTTTCTATTCCACATAATACAACATCATATTAATTTATTATTTGTTCATTTTCCACTTTTCTAAATCAGTGTAAAATGTATGTAAATATATGTAAAAGATATTTTTGTTTTTTAGTGGTTTAACATTTGGTTAGATAAATAAATTAGTCAAACTTTTTCTATACAAGAAGTAGCTCAACGAGTAACCAATGCTTCCACATATCAGGTCATGGGTTCAATTGCATTTCTAACTTTTTTGGTCAATTTTGGATATTATAAAACAATTACAGCAGCATAACTGGATGCGTGAGTGATTAGGAATGTTTTTACCCTCCGCGCTCGAAATGATCCATGACTTTAATGATGGGTTAAGGTGCAAAAGGACGCCTAGGGCATTATAGTGATTTTATCTCTTTGGCCCAAATTTAATCCAAGTGTATCTTAACGGCAGGGTATATAGGTAAGGGTCATTGCATTAGTCACATGATTTGTGGAAGAGGGTGGTCACTCTCACCTTTGGTGCATGAATCAGCAGTTTGAAAGCAGATGTGCCCCCAATTCGGGATCCAATTTAAAAATCCGTGAGCTAATTGTTTTAATTTGCAGACCCCACACAGTTCTGCATGTAATATGCATTCAAACTTCCCTATCATGCGTGTGTTCCAGCTAATAAATATCAAATTTGGAACCTTAGACAGTAGCTTAAATAAAGCAAAAGAGAGAAAAACCGATAAATACCCAGATACCGTCATTACATATTAAACAAATTTGGATGTATCAATTTTGGGATCAAGATAGTTGTGATTTGGATCAGTAAATTGGTTGGGTCTATGCAAAGATCATAAATCATGGAGGATAAATATATATATACCTGATATAACTATAAGATCCCATGGAAGGTGACTCAGTGTTATACCAAGAAATCTCCTACTAGCAGCTTGTAAATGTGTGTATTTCATATTTTAAATGTACAGTTTGTGTATTATGGACAAGTATGTCTAGTAGTGCCCAACAGACGGAAAAAAGGTTTTGCTTCAGCTAAGTTCTAAAGGGAGTTAACAAAATCTATGTATGTATAAATATAATAAGCAAACAAGTACTACATATTATATACAAATTCAGGAAGATATTTGTGAATTTTGTGTTATTCAAGTGATTTACCCACTTAAAGAGAACCAATATGGGAAATGCACATAATGTACATTTACTATTGTTTGACATTATTGTAGATTTAATAAAATAATTATAATTCATTATGGAGATTCAACTACCTTATATACATCTAAACACACAGATTATGTGAATACATACAAATATTATTCATTGATATATATATATATATAAATAATACTCCCTCCGTCCCAAAATACTTGTCCACCTTGGGAACTGTGAGTCACAATTTTGTGAGTCACAGTTCCCAAGGTGGACAAGTATTTTGGGACAGAGGGAGTATATTAAAAGAAAAAAGATTAAATGTTATATTAAGAAATATTTTGTTTATGGAATGGAAATATTTCTAAAAGAAGAGCATTTTTAATTTTTTAGCAACGGAAAGTTATTGAAAAGGAATATCCTTAAAAGATTATTTTGGAAAGGATATTTTTCAAAGAAACAATTTCAAAGGCTATGTTACTTGGACTTGAGTTTGAGTGTTGGACACAGGTGCCTGTCTAGATGTCAGATCCTTCTAATCGTTAAGATTTGGGATACGTAGACACCGATAATGTGTCAACGAATCCTTGAAATAATTGTTATAGAGTGTTTAAAATGACGAATTAAAATTAAGGATAACATTGAAAAAGAACATAAAATATTGGGATTAGCATTACTTTTAGGTATTTTTGAGGAAATGTAAAAGTTGGGGGCAAAACTGCAATTGTAACTTTTTAAACTATTTAAAAACGTTAGGGTTGCAGCCTGCTTTTATGATTTCTTTTTCCTCTCTCTTCATTTACGATTATGCGGCTGTAGAGAGATAAAACCCTAGCCCCTAGCCTCTTAATCGGTGATCGGGAAGACATTCCTAGAGGATCTTCAATAATGCATGTTTTGGCTGCGGCAAAGATCAATCGAACAGGTTAGTATTTCTTCAGTTCTTCTTTTTTTCCCTTCCTATTCTGTTTTGTCTTCTCCAGCCATGTCCTACTAGTGTCCCACATCCATGTCGGTGTTGTGTCCTGTCCTGTCTATGTCGGTACTCTAGAAATTGTTTATGCAATGGTGTCTTTTTGAAAGAAGAGCATTGTTAGCATGGGAAAGTTTTGGAAGAGGAATATCCTTAGAAGATTATTTTGGAAAGAATATTTTTCAAAGAAAGAATTTGAAAAGATGAGAATTGTAGAACATCATTTTCCTAACTTATTTTTTTGCCTTTATCAGAAGAAAAGAAAATAGGAAAGTAGATTAATTCAGTAAATCATTTTTGGAAGAATGACTAAGTTGTGGGTGAAGGGTGGCAAAATAATAGAAAATTGTTGCAACCAATAGGGAATGAAAGTTGAAACAATTGATAAATGGGATGAGTTATTGTCATTGTTGTGATATTGTTCTTTTTTAAAGATGCCATGAATTATTTGTTTGTGTTAATATATTGAATTCAATTTGTAGACTAGTATTATTTTGTTCTAAATGTCATATGCAGGTTATTGGATTGGGGGGTTTGGGCTTGGAGAGAGCATGGATGAGCGCACTGCTCTTCTTAATGCAGTTACAGTAAGATTGTATTCTAGTATGGAAGCTTCATTTCTTTCCTTAAATTTGTTGGGGAATTTCATTAGTTCTGGAAATAGAAAGCAGCATTCTTATATTATATAGAAAATGTCTTTGAAGCTGAATATATATATATATATATATATATATATATATATATATATAGAATTTCATCACGCGTTCCCAAAGTGCTTGAAAAGCTTATACTAATTTCTCTCCAACTTGCTACTATTGAATTATATATAGAGAGTTTTAGGCTCTACTAGCTCTCTATCGGACTCCATACTTGAAAATTGAAGGCTTTGACTGGTGGTACATAAAAAAGTACCTACTATAGCTCACACGAGGGCTAAACTGTCATGATGCAGAATATGACAATTGAGCGCTGCTACAACCAAAATCTAGCAAATCTTTAGAATTACCCAAACACTTTTGACTCGTAAAACATAAGAAAGATGAAAACATATATAAATTTAAACCAACTGCCAACGAACTTGAAACATAATATAGGACTTGACTCAAAATGGTACACGATTCTATGAGTTTTCTGTGTAAATAGCTGCTTGAGATCTGATCAATTTGCAATATTTTTCTCTTTAAATTTCCTTTTTTTGAGCCTCATATGGCTGTCATTCTTTATAAATAGATTTGTACATATACAAATTTGTATCAACTCCAGTTCAAAACTAGATTAAGTTCTTTCATGCAGGACATCCATTTGGGCTTTGGTTCATTTGAGACTAGTAGAAAGTTGTCCTGTTTTGCTTCAGTAAATGGTTGCATCCTTATTGACATTTACATGGCGTGAGTCTTGTACTTTTTCTCATGGTTTTGAATTGCTTCAATTATGTAACAATACCTAAGGGGGCAATCTTGTTATATGCTGGTATATAGAATTGGAAACCTGGAAAATGCATTAGGGTTAAAGGGTTTGAAAATTAGAAGTAAAACAGAATATATGAAATGTAATTGCACAATTTGTGTAATGATAATAATTTCAGGTTGGAGGATTATTCAAAAATAATTTGGTATTTATGATTGATAATAGAAATAGACGGGGAAATAGATGACCATATAATAAGTAGGATTAGAACAGCATGGGCAAATTTTGTTATATGCCAGTGGTATTTTATGTGATTGGAGAATACCAAATATGTTAAAAGAGAAATTGTATAAGACAGTGATTAGAGTAGCGACTTATCGAAAAAAAAAAGGAAAAAACGGTAATTAGAGTAACTATCTTATATGGATTGAAAAGAATAAAAAAAGAACGCACTCACATTACTGAAATGAGGATGTTGAAATGGATGCTAGGAGTAACGAAAAAATATAAGATTGTAATCAACATGTTGGTGAAGGATTAGATGTTGACACCTATTAGTGGTAAAGTATAAATTTGGCTTTAGATGAAATGGTCACATAGAAAATAGGCCTGAAATGCATCAGTAAGAAACACAAGTTAAATAAATGGTATGAGGCAAAGAAGTGGACTAAGATGAACTTGGCTTGAAGTTAAAAGAAAAGAAATGATATTAAAAAACTACTATATATGGCAAGAGACATGGCTTATGATGGATAAGAATGGAAAAGATTAGTTCATGTGGCTGACCCCATTTGAATGGGATCAAGGCAATGGTGATGACATTAACATGTTTAGGTGTCAAATCCATTAATTAGTATAATGATGATGCTTCCATTCTGAACATCCTCCATCAAAGAGAGTACTAGCAAAATAGTTTCTTGAAAATTCTTATGAATGGCTTTTGGTATTGTGGGAGCTACATGTCAAGTACTGAAGTAGATGATCAAAATGGAAAGATTTGCTTTATTCAGTTCGACTGCTTGTTAATTGAAGATGAAAAGTTTAACGACTAAATACATGTTGACTGGGGTTATGTTCACTTTGACTCTTCATCGGCAACATTATCCATATGCCAATTTGTTTGCAGATATGATAGCCACGATTTATGGAATGACTTACCATATTAGTAGAAATTTGATTATGCTATAGAATATGCGATAGAATATGCTTTGATTTGATTTAGATTTGATTTAATTTCCTTTCTTGTAATATGAGCATGTGCTCTTTTTATCTATAAATACTAGAGCTATGAATGAGTGATTAATCTCATTCAAGTCTTTACACAATTCTCTTAATTTTCTTCTTTTTATATTTCTTCTTTGTATTAGAGTCAAGGTGGTCCGACTGCAATGAGGGCATTGCGAGTTCGGCACCACCCATTCGGGAATGGTCTAAGGTGAAATCGCCCATCTCGTAGGTGTCGGGTAGGCAGGGTGGTCCGACCTCAATAAGAGCGTTGCGAGTTTGGCACCACCTATTTAGAAATGGTCTGAGGAGATATAGTTGTTTCTTTTTATGGTCTGAAGAGACATTGTTGATTCTCTCATCTACATTGTTTAAACATATGTATGAAGGGGAATGGTCTAAAGAGACATTATTGATTCTTCCATCTATATGTTTTAAACATGTGTACGAAGGGAAATGGTCTGAAGAGACATTGTTGGTTGTTTAAGGTCCGAGTAGACATTGTTGGTTGTTTACGGTCTGGGGAGACATTGTTAATTGTTTATGGTCTGTGGAGACATTGTTAATTGTTTATGGTCTGTGGAGACATTGTTGATTTGTTGATCGGCACTTCATCTGGGAGAAAATCATTGCTGGTCAAATTTGCACTCCATTTGTCACAAGCTTTCAGCAGCTTGTAGACATTCTTACAAAGGGTGTCAGTAAGATTTTGTTTGAGAATGCATTGTCCAAGTTGGGCGTTTCATATTTCTACGCACCAACTTGAGGGGGAGTGTTAGCAGATATGATAGCCATGATTTATGGATTAGTAGAAATTTGATTATGCTATAGAATATGCCATAGAATATGCTTTAGAATATGCTTTGATTTGATTTAGATTTGATTTAATTTCCTTTCTTGTAATATGAGCATGTGCTCTTTTTATCTATAAATACTAGAGCTATGAATGAGTGATTAATCTCATTCAAGTCTTTACACAATTCTCTCATTTCTCTTCTTTTTATATTTCTTCTCAATCTTTCTATTTAGGTAATGATTTCACTTTTACAAAATAGAAAATTTAATGTTTCCTAACTACATATGACGTTAATGCTCAGGATAATTTAACAGATGAAAAGCCGCGGCAGGTTTCTGGCCTTGGACTTCCAGGTATCATGTTGATGTTTATTATTCTTTCTAGTTGTATTAAGTTCATTTCTCTTTTCATTTTTCATTTCTTAGGGGATGAGTCAAACTCTATTTTAAACCTCTTGTTATGATTGGAAAGCAGAACTGTGTAGTTCCTCACACACCGCTAGAATGAATGTCAATTTTAGTTTAGGTTCTAGTGCAGATTGAGGTCTGCTGTTGATCACTTGATCCTTTAAGTTGGCTCGGATTTGGTTGGAGCAATGTGGTTCATAACTTGCGACTCCCTTCTATTGACCATCTAATGTTTTTTTTTTAAATTTTTTTAAAAATAAAGCAGTTCAGATTTAGCCACATTATCCCAGTATAATGTTGTCAATACTCAAATGCATTTTTTTTTCCTGATGTTTGTGTTGGCAGAGGGGAACCATCCTGGTACATGTTTTGTTGCTAAGTGAATGTCTTTTTTTCTTGCAGAGGAGGTCTTGCAGGGTGTTGCTGCTGGCATTGATCTCTTTGACTCCACGTATGTTGCTCATTCCATTTCCAGCATGATTGTCCTGAGATTTTCTCTCTTTGATGTGTTTCTTGTTAAATTTTGAGTGCCTTTGTACTTTTTTAAGGTATATTTATCATCTTACACTTGGAGGCTTTGCACTTACCTTTCCGCTCTGCAAAATCGAGGGACGTGCATCTTATTCACAGTTAAGTGATATAGGAAGCGACCACACCAAGATTAATCTGAAAGCAACAATATACAGGTATCTGACTAAATATTGTTATTTTTTTTTTTTTTAACTTGCTCAAGGAACTTGCTATTTCTTGTTCTTTCCTTCTGGCTATCAAGGTTTAGACTTTCTATTGAAATAACAATTGAATTTTCTTTCTCTGTGGAGATTGGTTCAGTTTCTTATTGTTCCTTTTTTCCTCTTTATTTATTTACTCTTTTGAAATATAGAAAATTCAGGAATGTGATCCCATATTACTCTTGCCATAGCCACTTGAGCAACATCCAGAAATTGTTTTCCCAATCTCCTAACAACATGAATTTGTTCAATTTGAAAAGAGTTGGAGTCTCCTGGACACAGGGCCAAGTGATGTGTTCTACTTCCATAGGCAACTCAATCAGTTGTTACTCGTCAATTAACTCCTTTATAACTGCCGTCCACCTACTCCCTGTGGATCTCTCATAAGGGAATCGGACTAACTTGACCTACCCATGCACTCCATAGGAAGTTCCATCCCAACTTGACCCATCTTTTTCAAAAGTAAACTCGAAAGAGTATATCTTCCCTTCTCCACCTCCAATTAAAGACCCAACACCTATCCCACAAAACAAAAATTCCGCCCATAGTGCGTTCTGCATCAAGACACACCCAATCTATGTATCTACCTCCCAATAAAGCTCAGAATAATCTCCACCAGATCTGATGCCAATTTGGATTCCTGCAAGCAAACCACCTGGACACCGCACTTCCTCAACACCATCTTCACTACCATCCTTCTATCCAGGTCATGTTCCATGATCTAATTTTTAACTTCATGTAGAAATGATTGATCTCTCCTCCCGCTTTCTTCCACTCTCACTACTCTCACCATCCTTTTTCATTTTTACTGTCGTAATTTACATAAGAAATCAGATTTCTCAACTCCCTTTCACCTCTTTTAAACCTCACTTGCTCTGTTGAGAACCCTGATTTCCCTTGCAGTTTTCCTCTCATCTTTAATTGATTGGAACATAGCTTGGGCCTCTTCTTTTATACAATTGTATGCAAATGTTAGAACCGGAACACGCAAAGTCCTCTGATTTAGGCCTGGACGGGGGATGAATAGGTCTTGTAAAAAAAATTAGTTTATTTTGTTTTAATTAGGTTTTAGCTTGGACAATAACTTGATAAACAAAAATATATTATATCGCTCAAGATAAGCAGTGCATATAAATGTGAAACCGTAATATAAACGGGCACTAGATTTTGACGTGAAAAAACTCTCAATTGAGAGTCATAAAATCACGAGACCTAGTCCAGACAAACTAATCCACTATAAAGAAACAGATACGCCCTAGGTTATAGTTCAGTGCTCTTGAATCCCTAGTTACCTCTATAGACAATAGAACACCAAATCTTCAATCCTTTGAAGATCTCCAGGCCTTCCTTCAGCTCGTGTCCAACATTTGCAACCACAAATCTGCTTCTCTAGTGATTAGTCTTAGCCAGTAGTTTCCAGTTGACAATCTCATATGAATTGCTTGGATGTGTTGAATATGCTTGATCAGTGCAACAAAGATATACATTGAACTACATCTCGCCAATATACTAGTGCATATGATGAATGTTGAAAAACAAAGATGCACCCAATGATCTCACATGTAATGTCTCAAAAATAGATGTAAATCATGAATGAGATGTTAATCTTGTGTATATAAATTAAAATAATCTCTCTGCACTCATTTAGTATTATGAGATGATATGTATTTATATGCAACCAAGAGTTCTGTTTTAATTGGATTTAAAAACAGAATGTTACCCCTATTAGAACTCTGTGGACCCTGTCAATCGATGGAGAGATGTGTCAATCGATTGACACAACTTCAGTTAGTCTCGATCGATATGTTGTTCGGTTGAGAATCCTGTAGTTTTGATACTTTGCGAAAAATTTACAGAAATTATTTTTAATGTAAAATCATGTGCATGCTTATGCATATTTGGAATCAAATTAAGTTTTGAAAACTTTGAAATTAAGATGCCATGATTATGCAATGCGTGTACCTAATTTGGTGAGTGTGCATCACAGTGTAAATTTATCTTTATACCCTTGTATTAGAGTATTAACATTTTTCCTTTGTAGTAGCTTTATCTTCCCCTCATAGGTAATATACACTTGGCTCGCTTTTGACTACTTTCTAACTAACTGGAAATTGAAATAAAAGTACAATGAAAATGTTTAATCTATGAAATTAGCCTACTTGGTCCAATTGAAATCTTCATGCCCCTCATAAGTCAGCCCCAAGCCCTTGCTAATATCTTAATATTTTCCGTTCTCCACTCAGTTTGATTTACCCTGTTACCTCGGTCCAGAATTTCTTCCCCCTCTTGAAGCTCCATAACAGCCAAAGCTTGCATCTCTTCTGCCTCTTGTGCTTTTATTTCTTCCATTATATTTGGGTCCATAAAATTTACAAAGTTGCACCTCCCTTCCATTCAAATTATCACCATCAAAGGATTTTTCTGAACACCACTTGGATTGTGTACTGTGGCCTTCATCAGCACTATATTCTGTCATACTATCAATACCACCTCTCTTGTTCTCTCCCTTATCTCCTTCCTGAAGAGCTTCATCTTCCCCACTATGCAATTTCTAATACTCCAGTAGAGCCACTGCACAGTCCTTTCCGACACACAGTAATTACCCCATCGTCCTGCCACTTGCTCTGCACCAAATGGCTTTCCGGCAAAGGGACCTCGCTCCTTTGCGTTCACATTCAGCGTCAGATCTTCCTATCACGCGGTTGTGATATCTGCCTTCGAGCACTGGCAGATTTCCTCCCCTCCCAATGTCAACACTGTGTTCCTCCAGGCCGCCTCCCCCCTCTCCCAGATTTTCCATTTGAGAAGTCGATGGAGATGAGGGTTGATTTACCTCTTTGCTGGGCTGGGCCTTTGCATTGAGTTGGTTGTGGTCTAGCCCACTTTGCGTGCAACGCTTTTCTGCAGCCCAATTCTGATTACGGTTCCAGATCTTCAGTACTTGAAGACGATCAAACCCTAGAGTTATGGCCTGTGTTCCCCTCAGCTTGTTGAAAGTCGACATGGGATGGGCCAGCCAATTCTCATGGTCCAAGTAGTCTTTATTTCCTACTATTAGCTTAGGGACCGAGCTGAATTGGTTTATCTGCCAAACATTTGGTCCATTTTGACTAAAGCCCACAGAGGGATTAAGCACCACCTCCCCTGCACGTGATCTTCCTTTTTAAATTTCAAACTGCTTGCCAGCTGCCCCCCACTCATCATTACTTCCCCGCATATTCAAAACATTCTTCATCAAGCTCTTTCAAGTAAACCCTGAGGTGCATGGTTTGATCCGTCTCACCCACAACCTTAATTTCTATTGGAAGATGTCATGTTTGGGGAATATCATTATAGGAGTGATTTAAGCCCTTAAATTACTTCTTGACATGATATTGATATGAGTGAATCATGGGAGTGATTTTAGGAATCTTTCCTATATCATATTTATCACATGTTTGAATTCTTTCTCCTGTAAATAGAGGTGATCATTGTATACACAGATTAAGAGAGAATATTATGAAAGTGATGTAGCCCTTTCGGCTCTTTGTGCTTGTGGATTTCGGCCCTAGTGGCTGAACCACGTAATATCTTTGTGTTCTTCTTGTTTCATTTCTCTCTTCACTTATATTTTATTATTTCCAACAATTTCCGATCTGTTTGGATCCCAACACATCCGGATCCTAGCCAAAGTTGACCAATTATAATTGTTAAGATTATTCTGTCTTTTAGAGATAGTAGCTCTAAAAATTCCATCCATATTCATACTTCTGACTTTCGTTTCCGAAGTACGGACTTTTTTTTTTGATAAGTAGTTTCCAAAGTACAAACTAAAGGTATATTTATATAGCTTAATGAATTTCTTAACTACCATTGTTTATTTCAGGTGTTGAGACCCCTCATATGGTAGTACTATCCTTTGAAATTTTAAAGGATTTCCTCGAATGGACCGGACCATTGATCTCCATAATTCGGAACAACTTAGTAGTATAAGATATATTACAAAAATGAGAACCATGTATTAGCAATTGTTAACTTCAAGGACAATTCCGGTAATCTAGCCCTCAATTAAGCTCATTGATTAAGACCCCACCACCAATAAAACTTGATCACCGAATCCACCTATATAATTTATGAAATTATTATGAGCACGAGCTAGCCATTTCATGTGAAATCATATTTAACATCCCCAGCACGTGATCATCCTTTTTGAATTTCAAACTGCTTGCCAGCTGCCCCCCACTCGTCATTAGCTCCCCGCATATTTAAAACATTCTTCGTCAAGCTCTTTCAAGTAAACCGAGTGGTGCATGGTTTGATCTGTCTCACCCATAACCTTAATTTCTGTTGGAAGAGGTCATGTTTGGGGAATATCATTATTGGAGTGATTTAAGCCCTTAAATTACTTCTCGATATGATATTGATATGATCGAATCATGGGAGTGATTTTAGGAATCTTTCCTATATCATATTTATCACATGTTTTTATTATTTCACCTGTAAATAGAGGTGATCATTGTATACACAGATTAATAAGAGACACTATTATGAAAGTGATGTAGCCCTTTTGGCTCTTTGTGCTGTGGATCCTAGTGACTGAACCACGTAATATCCATGCGTTCTTGTTTCATTTCTCTCTTCACTTATATTTTTATTATTTACAACAATTTCCGATCTGTTTGGATCCCAACACATCCAGATCCTAGCCAAAGTTGACCAATTATAGTTGTTAAGATCATTCAATCTTTTAGGGATAGTAGTTCTAAAGATTCCATTCATATTTGTACTTATGACTTTGGTTTCCAAAGTACAAATTTTTTTTTTTTTGATAAGTTTTTTCCAAAGTACAAACTAAAGGTATATTTATATAGCTTAATGAACTTCTTAACTACCATATGTTTAGTTGAGATGTTGAGACCCCTCATATTCCAGCAACCAATCATCATAAACAGAAGATGGGAGAAGAAATCTACCTCCCAAGGTAATAAGTATTCCTTTTTCTAGCTTTGCCGCTAGCAACACCAGCTTTCTTCTTGGTCTTCTTACTGGCACTTGGACTGCACCTCCACCTCTGGGGAAGTATTGACATCTTCTCAATTAGCTTAATCCAGTTCTGCAATGGATTTGCATTTGTTTGGGACAGAGATTGATTTTTGTCCATCTCATAACTGCTGTTTGATTCCTCTTGAGTAGGTAGGTGGTATGAGCCAACATCATCATCATTCTGACCTTCATTAATTACCGTATCTGGATTATTCTTATCACTCTCTTTACCTTCATGGTCATCCTTGTCTGACTGAGATACTAGCATCATTTGGAGGAACTGATTGCTATCATGATTAACGTTGTGGAGAGTTGATGTTTCCCCTTGATGCATAGAGGTATTATCAAACTCCTGAAATGCAATTTTCCATTTTCTATTCACTAGTTTCCAATTGTTCTTGACATTCTGACCATCCTCATATTCCTTAGCCCGAACAAGGGTTCAGCTCAGTGGCATTCTTCAGACAAGCTGAGGTAGTATAAATAAACACATGACAAAATGAACAAGTGGTCAGCTTCGTTGATGCTCGGCCTCTGTCTGAATAGCTTCTGAATTACTCATTCAGATATCAAATTCTTCAATCAATTCATCACAAATATTAATTTCAATACATACTCTAGCATAGTTGAGACATTTCTTCATTTTTGCCATGGAATATGCACACAATGGTTTCCCCAAAGCACTTGATATATAACTTGGGAAAAATTTATTCCAATATTCTGGACGAATGTTATAGAGTTTTACCCAAATTGGAATTTTGTCCAGCTTTCTCGTTATCGAGAGACTAGAGTAGTCCCCTTCTCCCATTTTTCCAGAACCGGAAGTCTGTTGAGGAAATGCCAAAGCCCTATCAAATATAGTATCCTTCTCAGCTTCTGAAGCAAATCTGAAGAAGGAAAAATAAAAAAAGAAGTCCTTAGCATTGTATAGAACCTCTAAAAACGTGTTGTTTCCCCAGATCTTTTGTGCCATTGATTTAAGAATAAGAAAGGGTAATTTCTTATCATAAAGTAGCCAACCAAGCAGCTGGATCACTCCATTTCAAAATCAATCAGCTGCGCAGGGGGGAGGCTACACATCAAATCTATTATCCAACTTTGAGTTTGAAAAGATGCAGAGCCATTCTTCTGTTACAGTTAGCTGGGTTTGATTTGAGAATATTGGCCCCAGATTTTTTCGGATCTTGTCTGGAACCAGGTTTATTATTTGGGTCTAAACCTAATTCCACATCTGCCCTAGGAATATTGAGTTTTGTAGCCTTATCCAAAATGGGAATTGCAGATATTTTTTTTGTTCTTTTCTTTTCTTATGGGATTTGAGCAGCTCTGTTTCCCACTTTAATGGGTGGCACCTTTTCAGCAATTGACTCCTCATCTTGCAGTTTATTTCTGATTAATACAGAAGGACTAGCAAATCGAGGTCTTCATCTCGATCTTTAGTTGTATCTCTTAACCATTTCTACCTTGACCTCAGGCACCTCCATAACTTGGATATCTCTAGTAACCACCCTCTGGAGCAAATTCTCTGCCTTTATTGGTTTCCCCTGGATTTCCTGCAATCATTTCTTCAAAGAACCAATTTCCTTTAGAACTGCATCCAAGTCCTTGTTTCTTTCATGACTATCAGGAACAGCATCATCGATATTCTCAATTGAGTGAGCTTTCTCCATCCCTCCTGAGCCTGGACTTGGACATCTACTGTATCTTTGACTTGATTTAGAGTTCTAGAATTGTCTTGGTTTCCCGATCTAGATACATGCCCAGCTTGGATACCCGCCAACATGACACAGAACTGAGTTCAGCCAGAGGATGTAAGAACAAAACTACGTGGTGGGAAGAGATTGATAAGAAATAGAGGAATGAGGTCTGAAAGGATGAAGAACATATGAGAACTGAGAAGAAGAAAGCCAGCTCCAGGCAGTGGAAAAGCCACTGGAACCCTTGAGAGACTGAGAGAGGAAGTGCTAGAGAGACTCTTTCTCGAGTCTTTCAATTTGGGGGGGGTGGGGTGGGTTGGGTTGAGAGATAGAACATATTATTGTCATTTGAATGTGCTGAAATTTGGAAATTTGGTAAGCATCTCTAATAATTTTTAGCAATAGTTGGCTTCTATAACTAGATTTTGTGAAGAACGCAAATATCCATAATATTAGGGCTGAACTCAGTTTACATAAAACACTAACTTGTTTCCTGTAATCCAACCATAGTTACTCTATGGATATGACTTTTGTTGTTGTTTATTTATTTATTTTTATTTGACAATGATTCTAGCGGCTGAAGTAATTCTTAACTGCTTTATTCTTTCGCGCTTTCTCTCTCTTTTGGACCCTAAATCCTTCCTCAAATGATGCATTTCTAATTGTCCACGTGCATAGCTGTTGCTTATTTTCATTGCCAGTACTTGACGGATCGATGAACCGTTTCTTTTCCCTGAAAATAATATATTATCTCCCATGAGTTTTTGAAAGTTGCAGGGACCTCCCTGAAGTTTCTAAAATAACTTTGGCCATTCCTCAGGTTTGCAGAAATTATCACATTATTTTTTCTACTATTAGCTAATGGCCAAATATAGAAGTTGAATTCTATAAAATAATGTGTCTAGGGCTATAGAATAGAAGAGAGAGAGAGATTGGACAATGAAATCTGATGGGTATACGTTCGTACACACCCCTCTCCTATTTATATCAAGGCAAATAAAATTACAATAGGTACCCTTGGGAAACCAAAAAATAACGACGACTTTTAACAATAGTAAGGATGATGACCTCACTGGTAATATTATTTGGTTATTATTTTTGGAGATAAGTGATAAGTAGAAGTTTTACTCATGAAAATCCTAATGTCATTTCTATAGTACACGACGAGTAGCTCTATGCTGCCAAAGAAGGATACACACTAAGACACTCCTCAATATCATTTGACATGTTCCGAGCTATTATGGCATCTGTTTGTATTTGGGTTTTACAACCATTTGATATTTACACCAGACCACTGCTAAGAGGTTTTTATTTATTTATTTATTATTTTTTAGGTCAATGTAATCAGTTGTGAATTGGAGCTTATTTTCTTTCTTCCAAGTTTTTCTTCATTCTCCGCAAAAAAATCATCACTAAAGATTAATTATTGTGAGGCGATACATTTTTCTGAGTTCTTTATTTTGCCAGGAAAGATACGTCGCCAATTCTCGATAGCTGTGGCTGCCATACTTGCCAGAATCATACAAAAGCATACATTAATCATCTACTCAATGTCCATGAAATGCTGGCTCAGACTCTACTAGAAATGTGCAACTTCTTTCTCACATTTTTGTTGTTGTTCTTGTTGTTTGTTGTTTACGAGCGTTTAATATATTTTGCAGACACAACACTCACCATTATCTGGGGTTCTTCCGCGCAATCAGGGGAGCAATCCACAAAGGGAAGTTTGAGGAATTTCGGCAAAAGTTCATTGAAAGTAGGTGTGATCATCTTTTCACAGCTGCTCTATGTGCATGAAATATAATATTATCTGAGCAAATTATAGTTCGAGACATACATTCTAATTTACTAGATTGTATTTCCTTTCAAATTATATGATCGATTAAGAGGAAAATGGTCAATAGCATAGATCATCTATTATTATACTGCAATACCAGACTTGATCTTCTTCTAAGATGTGATTGTCATCAGAACACTGATCATTCCAAATTTATTACTATATACTGCAATGTCTCTCATTCTCAAACAAACCATCTGCATATTTGAAAAGTGATTAGAGTCACATTCTAAGAAAAATTGTGGTGTAGTAAACATCATGATGTAGACTTACCGATTATTATGCTACTGTATATATATATATATATATATATATATATACACACACACACACACACGTACACTAGGAAAAGGCACGTGCATCGCACGTGATGAATGTTTTATAACTTATAGAATTTTTGTTTTTATATATATTTTTTCTAATTGTTGATTTGGAGCTTGTAACAATAAACGTTACAAAAAAAATTACAATTTTTTGTAACTCTTTTTATATTAATTTAAAAATATTTTTTGTATTTTTTTTAAGAAAAATATTTATTTTCTTTAAATATATCATTGTCTAATTAGATTTCCTTCATTAAAAAACTCATAATAAATAGATAAATACATGTTATATGTGATAGAGTTTAAAAAAAAAAAAAAATAGATAATTTGTGGTAGAGTTTTATAGAAATTATATTATTTTTTGGAAATCTATTTATAATAAATAAATAAATAGGTAATTTGTGTTAGAATTTAATAGAAACTCTTTTAAAAACTCGTTATAATATTTTTATATATAAATATTGAAACTCTTTGTAGATTTAATAATAGTATAGATTTTTTATATATCCTTATCAAATTTAATTTCATTTTACTTAGAAACTTGTACTAAAAGCTAATTTTTGGTAGAGTTTTAGAAAAATTAATTTATTTTATATATGAATTAATAAATATTTTTTATATAAATAACTCTTGTCTAATTAGATTTTCTTTTATTAAAAAATCCATAATATTAAATTGATAAATAAGTTAATTTAAATTTTATTAGGTAGATTTTAAAGTTAGCTAATTTGTGATAGATTTTATAGAAAATTTTTATTTTCTTTAAACATATTATTGTTTAATTATATTTTTTTATTAAAAAAGCTCATAATAAATAGGTAAATAGGTAATACGAGTTATAGTTTTATAGAAAATATTTTTAAAACTCTTTTTATATGAATTAATAAATATTTTTATATTTTAATAATTTTGGCTAATTGGATTAGCTTTTATTAAAAAAAAAAACTCATGATAAAAGGTAATTTGTGTTAGAGTTTTAGAAAAAAAATTTTAATTTTTATTTCAATTAAAAAATATTTCTTATATTAATAACTATTGTCTAATTATATTTTATTTTATTAAAAATATTATAATAAATAAATAAATAGGTAATTTGTTTTAGAGTTTAATATAAACTCTTTTAAAAGTTCTTTTTATATCAATTAATAAACATTTTTTATTTTAATAATTCTTGTCTAATTAGATTCACTTTTATTTAAAAACCATAATAAATAGAAAAATAGGTAATTTGTGTTAGGGTTTTATAGAAACTTTTTTAAAACCTCTTTTCATATCAATTAATAAATAATTTTTTATATTAATAATACTTGTCTAATTAGATTTTCTTTTTGTAAAAAACTCATAATAAATATATAAATAGATAATTTGTGTTAGAGTTTTATAAAAACTCTTTAAATATATCTTTGTCTAATATGATAGTGTTTTATTGAAAATAAAATAGGTAATTTGTGATTAAATTTTATAAAAATTATTTTATTTTTTTTAAATATATCCATCACTAATTAAATTTAATTTTATTAAGAAACTCATAATAAAAGTTAATTGGTGGTATGGTTTTAGAAAAAATATTTTATTTTATATATTAATTAATTAATATTTTTATATTAATAATTCTTTTATAATTAGATTTTCTTTTATTAAAAAATTAATAATAATAAATAGATTGATAGGTTAATTTAAATTTTATTATATAGATTTTAGTGTTTTATAGAGTTTTTTTTTTTAAATTTTCTTTTCATATCAATTAAAAAATATTTTTATATAAATAAATAATTAATTAAATACTAAAACTCTTTACACATTTAATAATAGTATAGCTAAAAACTCTTTTTATATTCATTAATAAATATTTTTTTACATAAATAAATAAATACTGAAACTCTTTGGCAGAGCTCTGTATTTTACTCTCAAATTCTGGATTTATATAATTATCAATATTTATACCCATTCCTCCTTTCTCCATACTTCTATTTATAGGCTTCTTGGATTAACAGGATGATGATGACGTGTGTCCTATTCTGATAATGATATAATCAAAACTGGCCGGGCTCGGTTATATTGTGATAATTATCTATAAAAAATAACTAATCATTTTATATTGAAATAAAAATAAGAATTTTATATAGATTGTGATAGATTTTATTAGATAATTTTTTAATTAATAAATATTTTTTATTTTAACAATTTTTGTCTAATTAGATTTACATTCATTAAAAAATATATAATAAATAGATAAATAAATAATTTGTTTTTGAGTTTTATAGAAATTCTTTTAAACCCTCTTTTTATATCAATTAATAAGTATTTTTTTATATTAATAATACTTGTCTAATTAGATTTCCTTTTATTAAAAAACTCATAATAAATAGATAAATTGGTAATTTGTGTTAGAGTTTTATAGAAACTCTTTAAATATATCTACGTCTAGTGTAATAGAGTTTTATTGAAAATAAAATAGGTAATTTGTGATAGAGTTTTCTAGAAATTATTTTATTTACTTTAAATATATCCTTGTCGAATTAAATTTAATTTTATTAAGAAACTCATAATAATAGCTAATTTGTGGTAGAGTTTTAGAAAAATTATTTTGTTTTATATATCAATTAATAAATATTTTTATATTAATAAATCTTGTCTAATTAGATTTTCTTTTATTAAATAATTCATAATAATAAATAGATAAATCGGTTAATTTAAATTTTATTTTGTAGATTTTAGTTCTATATGGAATGTGATTGATTTTATTTGGTAATTTTTTAATTAATAAATATTGTTTATTTTAATAATTATTGTCTAATTAAATTTACTTTTATTAAAAGACACATAATAAATAAATAAATAGGTAATTTGTGTTTGAGTTTTATAGAAACTCTTTGAAAACCTCTTTTTATATCAATTAATAAAATTTTTATATTAATAAATCTTGTCTAATTAGATTTTATTTTATTAAATAATTCATAATAATAAATAGATAAATAGGTTAATTTAAATTTTATTTTGTAGATTTTAGTTTTATATAGAATATGATTGGTTTTATTAGGTATTTTTCAATTAATAAATATTTTTTATTTTAATGATTATTGTCTAATTAGATTTACTTTTATTAAAAAACTTATAATAAAAAGATAAATTGGTAATTTGTGTTTGAGTTTTATAGAAACTCTTTCAAAACCTCTTTTTATATCAATTAATAAATATTTTTTTATATTAATAATACTTGTTTAATTAATTTTTTTTTTTATTAAAAAACTCATAATAAATAGATAAGTATGTAATTTGTGTTAGAGTTGTATAGAAACTCTTTAAATATATTTTTGTCTAGTGCGATAGAGTTTTATTGAAAATAAAATAGGTAATTTGTAATAGAGTTTTATAGAAACTCTTTAAATATATCTTTGTCTAGTGCGATAGAGTTTTATTGAAAATAAAATAGGTAATTTGTGATAGAGTTTTATAGAAATTATTTTATTTTCTTTAAATATATCTTTGTCTAATTAGATTTAATTTTATTAAGAAACTCATAATAAAAGCTAATTTGTGGTAGAGTTTTAGAAAAATTATTTTGTTTTATATATTAATTAATAAATATTTTTATATTAATAACTCGTCTAATTAGATTTTCGTTTATTAAAGAATTCATAATAATAAATAGATAAATAGGTTAATTTAAATTTTATTTTGTAGATTTTAGTGTTTTAAATATATATTTTTTATAAATAAATAAATACTTAAAGACTGAAACTATTTGCACATCTAATAATAGTATAGATAAAAACTATTTTTATATCAATTAACAAAAAAAAAATCATATAAATAAATAAATACATAAACTCTCTGCTCCATAATATCCATGTTTCTATTTATAAGCTTATTGGATTAATAGGATGATGACATGTGTCCTTTTCTGATAATGGCATAATCATAACTAGGCTGGGCCGGTTGTATTGTGATAATTATTCATTAAAAATAACTATTCTTTTTATATTGAACTAAAAATAAGAGTTTTATATAGAATGTGATTTGATTTTAGTAAGTAATTTTTAGAATTTTATAGAAACTATTCTTACCAAAATTATTTTTATATCAATTAATAAATATTTTATATATAAATAAATAAATACTGAAATACTGAAATACTGAAACCTTTTGCACATTTAATAATAGTATAGATATAGATATAGATATAGATATAGATATAGAGAGAATATATAATTAATTAATGAGAGTAGTATAGTATAATTCGAATTGTTAATTAAACTAATTTGAATAGGTTTTGAATTGTGAATAATTAATAAGAGCACTTTATTGAGAATTAAACTCTTTTTATAATTTGAATAGATTTTGAATTGTGAATAATTAATAAGAGCTCTTTATTAGTTATTTAAGTGTTTCTGATTTTGTGTTATTAGTTCGTTGGGTTCTAGTGAAGGTTGATTTGACTCATAACCGTTACATATATAGTGTTTTGCTGCAATAGTGATTGATAATCCATTTTTAATTTAATAATGTATATCTAGTTTGGCATTTTTGTATTTTGGGTTCAATTGTGAATAATTAATAAGAGCTCTGTATTGAGAATTAATTTTTTTTTTTTTTTTTATAATCTGTTAATTAGAATAATGTGGGACTTTGTAATTTGAATTAAACTCTTTTTATATTTTGTTAATTTGAATTAATTTTAACTTTATAAGGTAATTTTGAGTTTTATAGAACTCTTTATCATGAACTAAACTCTTTTTATATTTTGTTAATTTGAATTAACGAAGGTTAGCCCAAAGGCCGACCAAAAAAAATTTAGTACTACAATTGATTTTAGCCAAAAGGCCGAGAAAGGTGTGATTATTATTTCTTTAGGTCTATAGTTTTATAA